AATTTTTTCAAAAGTCCACAGACGGACACGAGGACGGACAGACGCCTCTAGCGTTTTATTAATAAGGAAGATTCTATCAAATGAGTCAATGGGAAAGTATCTTGTAAGATTTTTTAAATTCAAAATTATGAACTCAAAAAAATGTAAATAAAAATAAAAATAACCGAAATATTTTCGATTTCCGACCGTACTATTAATGTTCATGTTCAAATCTAAATTAACAAACATTTTGAAACTGTGACCCTTTAAAACTATTAATTCTAAAACACGACCTATTGAGAACACAATACAACAAAAAACAACTGAAAAAAATGCATACCTTTTATTCATTTTAACATCGAAAAAATGACAATTTTATCTATCAACAGCAATAATGAAAATGAGATCTTATAAAAAATCTGAGATCAAGCGAAAAGACTAGAGAATATGTACATAAAAACGAAATAGACTACTGTAGTTACAGTTTGTCACATACACCGAAATCAAAATTTCTTAAAACCACAAAAAAGTCTGTCCTAATTATTATCGCTTCTTGGTTGGCCGACCTCTTGGGCGTCCTCGACCCTTATTCTTTCTAGCTGGTGTGACTTTCTGTAAGAAAATTAAAGTTCCAAAAATTAAAGGTGCTAGATCTTTCTCGCCTTTCTCGCACTCCTAGACTTCTTTTTGGCAGGTTGCTTGTCTTTAGAAACTTCTAGAGCCTCTCGCTTTATGGCCCTTCTGGTGACTTCAGCCAACACCCCTTCTAGAGGGATCTCGTCGATTTCGGAGTTCGGATCATGGACCCAATTTTTGGGGTAGTGTGCAAATTTGAAGGTCTAAAAAATGGATTTATATCATTTGAACCGAGGTTGTCTTAGTGAGCTCATAGAAGCTTAGAAACTCAAACAATAAAAAAATAGAGCGTGCTGAGGATCTTTGACAGCCTAGGCCAAACCGATGACTGGGTCATTGTGGACCAGTTGGACCCTTGTTTTGAACGTATTTGCTTTTCTCTGTGATGAAGTTTTCAGAAATTTGGAAAATAATTTAAAAAAAACTCGGAGTGAATAATCCAATTCGAAATTTCGAATCACCAAATGGTCATATTTTTACGTTTTCATGTTTTCTGTTTTGGAAGTTCTATTATTTCCTTAAGATTGTTTATAACCATTAACCCTCTGTCATATAAGGATCAACTGGTCTAAACTCTGTTCGAATCTAATAGTAAATTGCAGAACAAGTTCTACAAAATGATATCAAAGCCTAAAATTTTTTCCACAAGTTCAACTTTTGAATGTACACATCTAAAAATCTAGGAAACTTTTTTAATGTCCCACCACTGTTCACTGTTTCAAGATCTTGTGGAAATCAGGGAGTGATGTAATGAGCAGTGATTCTGATTCTTCTAAGATTTCTCAGTGTTTCTCAAGGTCTTCAACTTCCATATAGAATGTTTCTGAATGTTTAAATCATAAAACTCACCGAAACTTCTCTCCCACTGTCTTCCTTCTTCTGCTCTTTATCCCCTCCTAGAACTCCTCCGAACAACGGGATACCACCCGAATCTTCATAATTCACCCCATTCCCAATTATCTTTGTTGGTGGATACTCCGTAATATCCGGCAGCTCTTTATCGGTCCATGTTTTTGCTGCTCGATGTGGTTGAAGACGCTTGGATGTCTCGGCTGGAGGATCTCTTATCACCCAAGGAAGGACCTTGATGAGCTTCGGATTTCTTTTCACCAAGTTCTGAAGAAACACTTCAAAGCTCTCCCATTCTCTTGATCCGTTTCTTTGGGAATTGAAGTTATGCTTTATCTGAAAAAAAGTTCATAAATCAAATGTTGCCAATTCTTCCCAATGCCTACCGTAGCACTGCACGTCTCAACACTCATCGTAGCTATTTTGAATCCTTCCAAGCTATTCCAATTCCTATAATAGGCCATTCTTAATAGCTTCCCTTCATTTTGAGAAATCTTTGGCATCCATTTTTGCTCAATAAGCTCCTTCTTCAGATTCTGTTTCAAGTTGGTTTTAGCTTTTGAGAACTCCTCTACAAGATACTCAATTTCAGTGTTTGATATTTCTCGAAAATGGAATCGAAGAATCCGCTCAATGTATCCTTGAAAGTTGGCGACAAATGCCACTCTGCCAGCTTCCCAGGGTCCAACATAGCTCCGAAATGCATTCGAGTTCTGAAAAAAGGGATTAGGGATAATGGGAAAATGTGGATTACCATGCTGATTTTGAAATGATCCAGATCATATTGGGTGCGGTATTTGGTGAACTGTTCCGTCCAGATTTCGTCTAGTTCTTGGCGTCTCTGGAAAAAATATGCGGTTTTATTGAAATCATGAATTCTTGGCTATTTTCTTTCAATTGTTTGGTTGCATTTACCGAAATCACACCAGATGTAAAGTTAGCAAGGATACATATTTTTATTTTGAAATTCAGTAATGATCAAAACATTTTTTGAAAATTTCTCAATTTATATGCAGCTTCGAGGTCATAACTGTTTGGTGTTTTTAAGTAATTTCGATGTACAGACTAAACTTATTTTCTTTTTCTTAATTCGAAAATTTAAAAAAAACCAGTTTTGAAAATTTTCCAGTCAACAAACGTTATTTTGGTAGTATGAATTCTACGATAGGTTTTCGTTTGACATAGAAACAAGTTTCCAAAGTAGTCAGACACATTTTATGTACTTTCAGTTAACGCTCAAATATTTTGGTTCCTTTGTTAAAAATTTGTAAAAATATCATCAACACTCTTATGTTTTGCAGGTTTTTGATACCTCTTACAGAAATTGATTTAGATAACATACGATATGTTGATGTTTATGTCAAAATTTCAACGCTAAATCACCATTCTCTCCAAACTGTGTCTCAACTGAATCGGCACAATGCTCCTTTCCACCGCCAATTGCTCCGATTGACTTTTCTCCCAATTCTCCAAAAACAGAAAAGGTATTATCTCCATTTCCTGCTCATACACTTTAGCATACTTTGAAAAATCTTCCTTGGCGAAATCCTCGTTCAACACCGTCTTCAGAAGTTTCAGGCTGTTCTTCTTTCTATCATTTCCTCCATCAATGGCTCTCAACGTATCCATATTCCGTGTTTCTAGTCCCTGTAAAAATAGAGAATTAGGAGTTTCAAGGTTACAAATCTACAAACCTCAAGAAAACGCCTAATATCTTTGGCCTGCGATTCGATGTGCCATTCATCCGGTGTTGAAGGATATGGACCGGTTGGGGTAGTCTGGATGTTCTGGGCCGTGTCATCCAACTGCTTGAATTTGAAGCCTGTTGGCAGTCTGCCCTTGGAAGAGTGGAAAATTCGAGAACCCTTGAATCGGTTGGGGAGATGAACCCGACTAAATGGGATCGTATACGGTTCTTCAGGGGATTTCTTCATCAAAATGCGTCCTGCTCCCAAATCCAAAAACTCTGATAATTCTTCTCGGACGAAAGCATTTGGCAAGGCTACCATCTCGTCGTTTCCGAAATCATTAAGAGATCCTGAATCATATCCGCCACACATGTTACAATTACTGGACGCTTTGTGGACTTCGCTACTCACAAAATCTTTGGAACAGTCAATTTTTTGATTCAAGACTTCTCCTTCATTTTCCACTGTTGGAGATGGGAAAAGGGGATTTTCGTGGACATCGGATTGACAGGAAGGCAGATCCAAATTTCCAGGCTCATAGTCATTCTGTGTTTGGGTACCATCCTCTATTTGAACATCCAATTCAATAGGATCCTCCGAACAAATTTCCACGGCAGATGGAACAGAATCGGGAAGTCCATCTTCCAAAGAACATCCTCCAACCGAGATCCCATCAAATACACCCGAGTCATTTTCATTCGACACTGCTCTTGAACTACAGATCGGACTAAATGAAATCTCGATTTCATCAACGTCCGAATCCTCCAGATTCTCGTCCACAACCGAATCTTCATCTAGAAAATCGGTTTCCAGCGTTCCAGACGAATTTGGATTCGAATTGGTCGTTGTAGAAGCTAGGAAATTGGGTTTCAGGGTTCTAGATGAATTAGACATCTGATCTTTAGTTGGGGATATGATGATCTCATCAAGCTCTTCTTCCTCCAAATTTTCATCGACTTCACATCTTACTGTAGTGGGCTCTCCAACCTGTATCCGTGGTCTGCCTCTTTTGTTCGTGTTTTGAGGACTAGCTACACGGTTAGGAGATTTTACAAGTGTAACTTCCAGCAGATTCGACGAGGATGTGGTTCGTTCGATTCCCGTTTCACATTGATTCTGTATACGGTGTTGAGGTAGTACCTTTTCACTTGTTGCGCTACCAAGTAAGCAGTCATTTGAACTTGGTGATGAAATAGACGGCAGACTTCCAATAGCTTCCGACAAATTCTGTCCAGGTGGTAGCGAATAATCCTGAAACAGTAACTTGTATTATTGTCAGGTTTCTTGGAGTTGACCCCATATGTTTGATCCACAAGTTCAACTTTCAAATGCAAAAAAAAACACTGTTTCAAGAACTTGTGAAAATCAAGGAGTGCTGGGATGAACAATAATTACTTCTGAGTAAGCTTGGCGGTGAAGATGGATCCTTAAAGGGGGACTCCGACCAAAAATTTTTATTGCATTAAAATGTGTTAAAAGTTATCTATTTTCCGAATATTATTGCGAAAAAATTAAAAAAAAATCCGAAATCCCCGAAAAACGGCGTTGAAAAGGAAGAAAATTCAAAAAAAGGTGCCGCCGGGGGACGAGGATTTTCAGTGAGAAACCTAGGCCACGGCAGCGGGCGCCTTTCCTATGTGGCAAATTTTCCGGATTTTTTTCAATTTCATGTCCGGCAGGTAAAAAACGTAAAAAACCACTGTCGGCGACTTAAAAAAAAGGCTGTCAGGTGCNGTGCCTGGGTTTCTCACTGAAATTCTTGGTCCCCCGGCGGCCCCTTTCTTTGATNTTTTTCTTTTTAAACGCCGTNTTTCGGGGATTTTGGATTTTCTTTGATTTTTTCGCAATAATTTTTGAAAAATAGATAAATTTTAACACATTTTAATGCAATAAAAATTTCTGGTCGGAGTCCCCCTTTAAAGGACGAATTTTGAGAAAATTCAGGATTTAATGTGCTAATGATAATATATGTAACTTAAACCTACACTGTTCAGAGTAATTTGAATTGTTTCTCTGTTTCAAAAAGGTCGTATTAATCTTATTTTTTCGCTTATTTCGCTTATTTCGCTCATAACTTAAACTCAAACCACTTTTGAAAATTCAATTTGGTCATCACCCACCTTTTCTTCTATTAAGCCACTAAAGTTAGAGCAATGATTTCGTTCCGGTATTGGTGATAGTACACAAGGTACTAGTGGAGATGTAGAACAATCCTCACTGACGTCGTCTGGAGATCCTAGATTTTTGCTATGTCCTGGAGAGTTGGTGTCAGATGTTGATGAGCTCGGCGATGAGGCAGTATTCTGAAAGTTTTTTTTTTCAGGTTTCATTATCTTCTTAAGTTTCGAAACTTATTAGTGAACGGTGTATTAGTGTTAAAATGACTGTCTGTACAAAACAGATATTGAAGCGCATCCTGTCAAAACTAGCAAAGCCAAACCGGAAATTTTTTCAAAACTTTAACAGTACCTATGCGCCTTTTAAAGTTAATTAAAATTTCCCCAAGTTATGTTTATGTTTTTCAAATTGCTTTAAATAAATTTAAAATAAAACTGCTCCTACCATCAGAATTCTCTTAGATTCTTGTTGGGTTGAGTTTTCCTGTAAAGACGATGAGGCAGAAGATGAGCAATTTTCACGGATGTTTTCTTGAGTTTCTGAGGTTTTGTTTGGTCCTGGCGAGATGATACCAGACGTTGCTGAGATTGGCGCTGAGACGGAACCCTCAAAAAATTGAAGTTTAGTTGACTGTTTCGTTATTTTCTAAACTCTTACAGTTGGCTAAGACAACATTTTATGGGGAGAAAAAATTAGAAATATAATTTTGAACCAATTTTTCTCGGTTCCTATGAGAGATACCAAATTATGATCGACTAATGAAATGTTTCTCATAACATCAAATACAATTTGTCTGTTAATTATTCTCCGGTTTGAATTTTCAAGCAAAGGGGGAGAAAATGAGCAATCTTCACTAACGTTTTCTTGAACTTCTAGGTTTTCATTAGGTCCTCGCGAGCTGATACCAGGTGATGGTGTCTGAAAAAACTTGTTTAACCTTAAAAGTGTTACTGCTTCATGAACTTGTCAAAATCTTAAACTGTCCAACCCTTTGATTGGTCCGTTTTTTTCATGTTGATTCATTAAAAAAGAGATACAAAACTCACATTAACGGTATCCATATCTTCTGGTTGGTTCAGATCGGCAGAAGGTGATACTGGATAAGATGGTTGCTGTAAAACCGATTTTATGTTGTTGTACTTTTTTGGTGTAATCCGAAATAAATGTTAAAAATGTTTCATGTCGCCTATGAAATTAGAAAAGAGAATTTTCGAACATTGTTGGCATATGTCTGATTAAAAACGATCACTTAACTTTGACCCGATTCATCTCGTTTCCTATAAAAGATATCAAAAAGTGGTTAACTGACAAAAAATCGAACATGATGTTAAACCTATTTTATTAGTTGACTAATGTTCGACATCTCTCACAGGAACCAAGATAGATTGGGTCAAAGTTGGTGTACCCAGTCTGACTACGCGCCGACGCACAACTCGACTCAAACTCGGAACTTTTAAATGAATAAAAAATTAAAATGTAGAACTTGATGAGATCTACAAATGATAAACAGCTCAATTGAGTGCAAAAGTCGAGTCTCAAGAAGCCGTAGAGCAGCCAGGGTCAGTACTACCCCGGGCCGACTTCGCCGACCCTGGTAGTTTTAAAGGAGGCGAGACAGCAAAAATTTCGGGGGCAGTTGGGGGGCCGAAATCGCGCCGCGCTTATGTAGACCATCGGTCGTCAGGCGCCTTCGCGCCCACGTAGCTCAGCCGGTAGCGGCGCTGTACCCCTGAGCTGCCTGTCATGAGTTCAACCCCTCATGGGGGTTCTCTATGCAAAATATCAGGAAAACTTTTTTTTTGGTGTCTGGCCTCCTTTAAGAGCCTCTGGTGGAAAATAGACGTTTAATATTTTTGAGTTTAATATGGTTTTGTAGCTATTGTGAAACTTCAGGTTTTCTAAGTGTGAACTAAGTGATTCGCTGTCTTTTAGTCTGCCTGGGTAGATCCGGTTGGAATATGTTTATTATAAATTTTACAGCGAATCAGGAAGCAAAACTCACTTTGTCAATTTCTTCACTACTCCCAGTCAGTTTATTATTGCTTGGTCCACCAGCACAACCGTCACCATTGTCCGGAGTTAATTTCACATCGTGATTAGAGCACCTTGAAACAGCAAACTCGTTGCAATGAAAATTTAGTGGTGCCTGAAAATATTCTGGTTCAGATAGAAAATATTTCAGAAATCTTACCGTAATCTTCTCTTGAACATCATCCTTCTGAGAATTACCTTCTGCTACCTTGTCTCCTTTCATTGATGTCTCTTCTTGTCCAAGATGTTCCCGTTGAAAATATTCGTGGACCTGTAACAACCAAAAAATAAGCACTCTTATAAAACCCCGCTATCTTTGCGCCAATATAACTCGGTTCTTGTAGAAGATACCAAAAAGAAGTCAACTAACAAAATATTTTTGCAATTATGATAAACATTTTATCTGTTGATTACTTTTTGATATCATTCACTGGAAGTGAGATATTTGGGCTCAAACTTACCCAGTCTTTCCTCTCTGGCATCTTTTCCTCAAGGTCAGAACTAAATTTGTATTTCTCCAACGCCTCCTTTAAATCCAAATCAATAGAATTCAAAAATCCCTGGCGAACTAAACTCTCCAATTTCTTCTTCTCCTCTAGAAAACCTTTCTTCTGTGACTCTGTGACAAATTTCCCGCCTTTAAATTTCCATCCCAATGGGGTCCGTAATGTTTGATCGTTCGTAGTGATAAGAATTTCCTTTTGCTCATCAGTTAGTGTGCTCCAGAATGGTAACGTCTGAAAAACATTATCAATAGAGCGAACTTTCATAAACCTTGCTTACCTCTGCTACACAGTCGTATACCTTTATTCTAGCGTCTGAACTGCAAAACCTGTCAAACTCTCTATCGAATTTGTCGTTGAGCCCCTGACGAGTTTGATCCTGTAAAAATGTATCAATTTTGGAATATTTCGAGAATCAAAAAATGGAATTAAAGGATCTAAATTTTCAGGAGCAGCACAGTAAAAACGAAAAAACGATTTTTGAGTACTAAACAAATTGGGGACACAGAAGGTAGAATGTGAGAATTGTTTTGTTTCTATAGTTACAATAACACTGAAACAGTTATATTTTTGTTAGTTTTGGAAGTTTTGAAAAAAAATGCCTTTGGGTAATAATCTAGCTCAGAATTGTATGAATTATCCGGATAATTGCAGGATAACTTTCTGAATTTTTGGGAACAGGGAACTTTTCGAAAAAATTTAATTGAATTTCGAACGTTGGCCGACTTTTACAACACGAAAACCTTCGATCAAAAAACTCATATTGATTTTTTTTTTAGTTTATATTTGAAAATTGATGAAGGTGGATGCGAATTATAGGAATTTTTAAAATTCAAGTTTACAATAATTTTGAAACTGGCAATGTTTAAAATTTTTTGGAATATCTACAGGGTGGTTTTTAATTACCCGCGCACAACTTTGGCGCTATGGTTCTTGGTGCTGGCGCGAATTTAGTGCAGCAGATGTTTTTCATTGATTCGTTATTGATACGTTTGCCAAGTTTCAGCCTTAATGGTTGAGTTTCAGGTAAATGGCAAGCCCTAACGTCCACCATGCCACTGTCATCAGTCTTTTTAAGCAGATTGTCAGTAGAAATGAGATCTTCAAACGCATTGGAACTGTCGACATGTGGTTTTTTGTGGCTATCAAAAGATTCACCGAGTTTGGATCTATGTTTGGTCGCATTGTGAGAGGAAGAAAAACTACGGTGACACCTCCAGAAGAGATCGAAGCTGTTCGAGATCAAATCAGGAGTAACTTGCATAAATCCCTCAGGAAATTGGCCATGGTTATGCGTATGTCTTGGTTTTTAGTTTAAAAGATAGCCCGAAACAAGCTCGATTCAAAATGCTATTGCGTCTTAGAAGCCGTTATCTTGTCGGAGAGCAATATGCGATAGAGTCTGGAGAAGACTAAATTTCGTATGGATGGCACGCGGGGAGGAGACCATTTGGGGTTCGCTTTCTTTGAAGAGCACTGTTTCACGATTGAAGCCGAACCCAACTCTCAAAGTTATTGTGGATTAGCCAAGGATATCAAGGAACATTTTAAGAAAGAACAAACCATTCCTAGAGTTTCAAACTCGGCCGACACGATGGTTTTCGGTGCTACATGCTCAAATTCCAAATTTCACATATCAAGACGTCTGTATGACCAAGAAAGTGTATATCGAGGGAATTTTAAAGAAGCATCTGCTCCTATGAACCAAATCCCATTTTGGACAGGAAAATTGGATCCACCAACATGACGGAGCTCCAGCCTTTGACCCCGTTTGACTATTCCATCTGGAATTATGCAAAAAAAAGATCTGCTCAAGATCCCATTCAAATTTCAAGGCGCTGGAAAAGACACTGATCAAAAAATGGGACAAACTTTCGACCGTGCCACCATCGATGTCTACCAAAGACGTCTTCAGACCGTAACTGAGGCGAACGATGACAGAATCGAAAAATTATTTTTGGTTATAATTTTTGTACGTCCAAATAAATATCTTGTTGAGTTTCATCAGTTTTTGGCTTCTACTCTTCTACTCTGAGAAAACTTCTACTCTGAGAAAAACTCATTCAAAGATGTGCGGGTGATTAGAAGCCACCCTGTAGTTGCTCTCGAAATTAAGCGGCTTGAAAGATTTTTAAATAAAAAAAGAAAAAAGTCGTAAAATATTCGAGTTACTGTAGTTGCAATAACAGTGACAATGAAACTGACAATTATAATCTAACATTTTATATTTTTGAAAAACAAGTTTTGAGTCATATCACTGCGCACTGTAAACGGACCATGTCAATATGTTCAAACACAGGTGATTCGCGAACAGTCCGTTACGGACGCTCCGCGTTCGCGCGCGGTTGAAATAGGAACCGCATACGGACCGTACGCGAACCGTTTTTAGTAAATAGCAGTACATTATTCGGATTGATCCGTATCCTGTCCGTTCGCGAGCTCCGTATCCGATCCGCATGCGAATCATGACCAAACGGATCCGTTTGCGAATCAAATGTTTTAGTGAGTTTGCAAACGGATCCGTTTGGTTATGATTCGCATGCGGATCGGATACGGAGCTCGCGAACGGACAGGATACGGATCAATCCGAATAATGTACTGCTATTTACTAAAAACGGTTCGCGTACGGTCCGTATGCGGTTCCTATTTCAACCGCGCGCGAACGCGGAGCGTCCGTAACGGACTGTTCGCGAATCACCTGTGTTTGAACATATTG